GGCAACTCCTGCATTGAGCATCTGCCCCCTGGTGGTCATTGCACATCATAGCTACCGGTCGGACAGTCGAATGGTCAGACGGTCACTTAAGCTTTTATATATATAGATAACACGGTGCACCTGCATGATCGCTGCTTGGGCAGGAATAGCACCTGTGGGAGTTGTACGCTCAGCCGGAGAAGGGGTGCGGGGAGACAGGCAATGAAGAAGGAGGCCTCAAGGCAGGGGTCTCAGCCGCTGGTGCCCCACCAGCACCTACCAGCAGGCACTTGACGGGGAACTCCTTCAGGCCTCTGTTCCTCGGAGAGTCAAAGACGACGGGCAGCGCCTTGTGCGGGGCTTGGATGTAGCCGATCTCGATTTCATCCTGGGCACAGCGAGCGGAGGGAGGCTGGTCACATGCTGCCTGGGTGTTAGCACCCAGCGCGGGGAGGGGCGGGGAGCACCCTCCACACGTTCTCCCCGTGGCGGCCAAGGACAAGTTCATGCAGGATGCTGGACCCCAGGGGAGGGGCTCTGAGAAAGCAGAGCTTATCGTCCTGGGTTTGCACCAACATGTTGTGAAATTCTGAGTCTCCTTCACGCCACTCCTGGGGGGTGCCCCGCTGGGTCCTGGGGACCCATCCTGAGCGAGCCTCAGGCACTGTCCTGGAGGTGAGAGCAGGGGGCTGGGGACTCACCACCCCGGGTTAGCAGGTGATAGGAAGGGAGGGAGGGGTCCATGGGAACACGGAGGAAGGGCTGCGAGGGTGGGACAGGCCAGGGGGGAGCATTGCTGAGCCGAGGCCTGGAGGGCAGGCGTAGGAATGGCCTTCTCCCAAAGGGGGACAGGTTAGGGGAGGATCAGGAACGAATCGGGTGCAAATCCTGCCTGTGTTCTAGCAGACAGATTCGATACTGGGCAGAAGTCACTTAAGCTGACCCATATGAAATTGCCATTCCTGGAGGTCAAGAATGGAGGCCTGTCAGCCGTTTCACATGGATCAACCTGATTTATCACAGAGGGAACGACAGAGAGGAAGAGAGGGTGTTAGAGGGTGCGGGGGGAGAGGAAAGAGGGCTGAATTCCCACAGGGGATGGGGCACATTTACAGAGGGGGAGCTCTCAGGCTGGGAGTGGGCAGGCATGATGTGGACGTGGGGATGAGAATGGGGAGGGTTCACTCATCCTATGCCCCCTGTTCTGCTCACCCCACAGGGCCACGCACCTGCATCCACTGGTCCTCCATGCTCTCCTCCAAGGGGCACACAGTCAGCTTGCACCTGGCTTTCTTGGCCAGAGCGGTCAATGACTTCACAAAGTCCTCGTTTTCAAATATCCTAGAAAGAGCAGAGAAGAAATGCCTTAGAGTTCTGAACCCAGCAGCCAGCTCTGGGGGGCAAGCTACACCCATGAAGGGCCCCTCAGCTGGAGCAAGAGCTCGGGCCTGGCCGGAACTGGGGAGGCGCACAGTGGGTGCTCAGGAGATGCTGCAGCCTGAAGAGACGTCCGTCTCTCTGCTCTTAGCAAATATCATCCCATTAAACCCCCGTGACAGTCCATGAAAGGAACTAGAGGGTCCTGGCATAAGGGACTCGGACAACGGATCGAGCTCGGGCCTGGCCGGAACTGGGGAGGCGCACAGTGGGTGCTCAGGAGATGCTGCAGCCTGAAGAGATGTCCGTCTCTCTGCTCTTAACAAATATCATCCCATTAAACCCCGTGACAGTCCATGAAAGGAACTAGAGGGTCCTGCCATACGGGACTCGGACAACTGATTTGATTGACATTGACTGGGCTGCTGCATGCCCATCAGAGTCACCAGGATAAAAGCCACCTTCCACCGAGTGGGGAGGTCAAGGCTCAAGGTCATGCTGTTTAGGTGCCGGAGTCCATTCATTGTCTTCACTAGCTGAGTTTAGACAGAGACCCCCAAAAGCTAGTAACCTTTGAAGTCCTAGCAAAGGTCAGAACTGTGCACCCCCCAGTTAATCTAGTCCTTACCCTAAGGGCTACTCCAGATCAATAAAAGATTGGAGCGGCCTGAGTATCGGTGGAAGTCCTTCGGGACTTGCCCGCCTGGTCCCCCAATATTGCAAAATTATCTTGTGTCATTTCTCTCTCATTTGTGTGCGGGCCCCTCTTTCAGATACCGAACCCTACTCCGCAGAACATGGAGGGAGTGTTACTCGACATTTAGGGACTGCACTGGGATTTGAACCCAGGCCCCTCTGGCTTCCAGCCTGTGTCCTGATGACCAGGTTACACTCTCACCCCTTCCTCCCTTGAAGCAATCAGAAGAGGAGAAGGGAGGGGCCCCGAGACCCCAGCATATTTAAGAGGGGCTCCCTAGGCTGCGGACTGGACGCTGAGGCTTCCCAGAGCAGCCTGTTAAATGTCCGTGGCCCATCCCCAGTTACAAGACCCAACCGTTCAGAGGTTGGCTGGGAATGAGCATTTTAAACGAGTCCCAGCGGTTTCTGGGGCAGAAGGTCCAAGGGCCACACTCTGAGCAACTCTCGGGCCGAGGGCTCTCCTCCTGCAGGTCTAGCAGACTCCACGGGCCTGGGAGCTAAAAAAGCAGCCCTCGGCCTGCAAGTGGGCAGGGCAGCCAACACACAGACAGCTGCAGTAGCTTCCCTGCCTCTGAGCGGGTCCAGACAGGCCGTGACCCGCAGCCAGTGCATTGGGGGTTACAATTCCCCTCATTCACACAGCCAGCGCATGGGGGCCTGCAGCCAGAACCCCGGGCTCCTGGACCCTGGCTCCCCCTGGCGCATCTATGCCCGCCCCCAGCACCCCAGAGCCCCTCACCTGCACACATACACCTCCTTCGGGGGCTGAGTGTTGGGGGTCATGATCCAGGGGGCCACACGGAAAGCCACACTGTCTTGGAACACCAGGGCCTTGGGGAGCTCCTGCAG